CGAAGAAAACATTGTTTAATTTATATTAATATGTATCACTTAAAAAAATTTTAATGAAGATATTTATCTTAATTATGAAAATATACTAGTATGTTTTTTAATTTTTGGAACCTAACCCTCCTTTTCGTATTAGTTCTTTGTTTCGTATAACACGGATTCGCATAACACGGCAATTTTTTGGAACATAACTACCGTGTTATACGGGGGTTACTTGTACCTTGTAATTTGACTCCTACACAAGCTCAGCACTATGTTGAAATATGTTGTCAATTGCTAATAAAGCCTAATAATAGCATTTCATCAAAGGGACTGTCACAGGGATGTAAAGTGGATATATTTTTGTAATCTAGTCAAGCAAAATCAATGGTTAGATCTTGCACATTTACCAGAACCAGTTGCAAAAAAAGATATGCTTCAAACACAAAGAATGACTTTGTATATGATGGAATTTCAAGGGTCCACTTCACTCAGAGTTAGTTCCTGATGGTTGTAGCATTAACACAGAACTTCGTTGTGCCCAACTGGATCAAATGTATGCAGCTTTAATCAATAGAAAACAGATATTTCTTTAACAAGATAATGCTTCTCCACATGTTACACATTCAACAAAAGCAAAACTTCAGGAACTAAACAAATGGAATCAATGCCACATCCAACATTAAGCCTGGACTTAGCACCTTCAGACTACTACCTTTTTCAGTCCACGGTGCACTTTATGCATGGAAAACAATCTGAAAATCTTATGGACATTGAAAATGGAATCAGGGAGTTTTTTGCCTCAAAATCCAAGAATGGTCAACTGCAGAATTAAAAAATTGGCATCAAAATGAATTACTCTTCGAGATTTCAAAATGGGTAAACAATATTAAACACAATGGTCTTCACTGATCTTGAGATTTTGAAGAATAATCCTTTACTGTTATCTTTTATGTACATTTCTTTATACCTTATAAAAACCACAAGGATTTGACTCGCTTTCTATTTATACAGTTGAACTTCACTACAACAATATTTTGGGAATCAGGAAAATATTGTTATACTGGGATTATCATTGTAGTGAGGTCTTAAAATTTAAGAACTGAGATCATTAAGAATGTGAAATTTAGATTAAGTAAAAGAAACAGTACACCTTGTAACTCCAGTAGTATATTTAATAAATCATAATGTTTTTGATTTAGGACCATAGACCTTCCTCAGTGAAGTACATATTTAAAATAAAATGAACATAGACATATCAAATTCAATGAACATAATTTAAAATTAAAAAGTGTTCTTTTGTTAGAACACTTTTTAATTTTAAATTATGTTCATTGAATTTGATATGTCTATGTTCATTTTAGAACACACTCACAGAAAAAAATTAATAATTAATAATTAAAAATAATACAAATAAAAAGAAAGATTAATACAGTCGACCCCCCTATAACATGGTAGATATGTTATGGTTTTTATGAATCCATTTTCTACGAGTCCAGCCAATCACAGCCCGACACGTATGCAGTTTACGCACTACAACTGTTTGAAAGGTTTCTTCCATAAAATTAATCGATTCTAGACTAATTTCACTCAACATTTCCAAAATACGTATAATTTTTTGGGAATAATCCATATAAACTATACTATAAACAAAAAATTGTAGGATTACTTACCGAGCGTGCACCATTCGACTATGCCATTGCTTAAGTTTGTTTTCGTCGTGGAGCTTGTCATCGAATGGTGCTCGCGTGCTTCCCGATAAATTATTTTTTTGCAAAAGATTTGCTGAACTTTGGAGACATCATTAATATAAATATAATTTTTATGGACATTAAATAATAAATGGGTTTTAGTAGGTCTGCTGCTCGTTTAAACTCAACGGTTTGTACGATATCCGCTATTGGTCTAGATTCGATCAATCCTGTCGCAACACGAGTAGGCAATGACATTTTACCAAATTATACGAGTTTTTTTTAGCATGTTTGTACGAATACTGTCGCAATTTTTTCGCCGTGATATAAGAATCCGAACTATAGGAACTCGTGTTATAGGGGGGTCAACTGTATAAACAAAAATAATTATTAGAGGACTAAGTCCAGGTTATATTTCGCACAAGGATTTCCATGCCAGAGGCACGATTACTAGAATATAAGGTTAAAGAATGCCCATAAGAAGTGCATCAAAAAAGCATCTAGAGACAAACTTTGCTACCAGGGCAGCACTGCCAGAAATTCAGGCCACATTAGTTACAGCTATAGTAGGTTTGTTAATATAGAAATTGTTTGGTTTTGATGTAATAATGCCTTCTAAGCAGTGGGTTCCGAGGTGTAAACGTGGCTATGCCTCTTATAAAAAAAAACGTGCTATGTTTTCATTTCTGAGAGATCCGGAAAAACAAAATGTATGGAAAAGGAATATACTAAGAGACTTCAAAATCACCAAGAACTTCTTCATTTGTATTCAATTGCAGATGTGAATGATGCTATTGGGACCATAACAGAGCTGTAGAGAATATCTATAAGAGTAAAAAAAGCCAAAGGAACCATACCTGTAAATGTGACCTTTTGCAACCTTTAGCCCTCCCAAATCAGTCAAACGCAATTGTGTCATGCCGCGCACTCTACTAAGATTATCGCATTTATTCCACGACTATGCCGGCTTTGAGTAGCCTATTTGACTGTTCATGGAGTACTTGATGTTATATAGTTTTAGGGGATGTGGGTGCTTGCTTCCACCTGGGTGCTGAGGTGCGAACACTAGCAAGCACCAGAGCACATGACTACATGCTCCGCATCGGTCAAGGCGAGAGATCACATGCCTTAACCAATGTGAAGCATAGAGAATAGGCATTAGTACTGGTTCAAGGCAAAAACTGTTTTTGGTCAGTAAAAGTTAATGCATTTATTCTTTGTTATTGGCACTGATTGCAGTACTGGATCAAATGTATGCAGCTTTAATCAATAGAAAACAGATATTTCTTTAACAAGATAATGCTTCTCCACATGTTACACATTCAACAAAAGCAAAAATTCAGGAACTAAACAAATGGAATCAATGCCACATCCAACATTAAGCCTGGACTTAGCACCTTCAGACTACTACCTTTTTCAGTCCACGGTGCACTTTATGCATGGAAAACAATCTGAAAATCTTATGGACATTGAAAATGGAATCAGGGAGTTTTTTGCCTCAAAATCCAAGAATGGTCAACTGCAGAATTAAAAAATTGGCATCAAAATGAATTACTCTTCGAGATTTCAAAATGGGTAAACAATATTAAACACAATGGTCTTCACTGATCTTGAGATTTTGAAGAATAATCCTTTACTGTTATCTTTTATGTACATTTCTTTATACCTTATAAAAACCACAAGGATTTGACTCGCTTTCTATTTATACAGTTGAACTTCACTACAACAATATTTTGGGAACCAGGAAAATATTGTTATACTGGGATTATCATTGTAGTGAGGTCTTAAAATTTAAGAACTGAGATCATTAAGAATGTGAAATTTAGATTAAGTAAAAGAAACAGTACACCTTGTAACTCCAGTAGTATATTTAATAAATCATAATGTTTTTGATTTAGGACCATAGACCTTCCTCAGTGAAGTACATATTTAAAATAAAATGAACATAGACATATCAAATTCAATGAACATAATTTAAAATTAAAAAGTGTTCTTTTGTTAGAACACTTTTTAATTTTAAATTATGTTCATTGAATTTGATATGTCTATGTTCATTTTANGAATAAAGGTGCATTAAATTTTACCTTCAAAATGTTTCAATTTTTCCAAAAGAAAGGCAAATTCTTTCTCGGAATTTTCTGTATCCATTTTATTCACCACTAAAATTGCCGGTTTGTCTGTTAGTTCTTCTTTGTACAGCTCCAGTTCCTGAGAATCAGAAATAGTCAAAATAGGAGAATTGAAAAAAAATAACTCAAAACACAAAATACATTTTTGTATATTTGTAACTTACTTTGTTCAGCAGCATTACAGTTTCTAAGGCATTTCTATAGGGATAATCATACTTGTTGGAAGTCAGCCGAAATCCGGACACATCGACAACGAACAGAAGCAATTTCGTCCTGATCACATGCTTCAAAAAATGATGACCCATGCCAAAATTGTCGTGTGCACCTTCTATTAATCCCGGCAAGTCTGCTAATAATATCTGAAAAATATTTTCCAAGATTAGAAACATTATTATTTAAAAATTCATAATATTTTAAAAAACTGTCAGTAAATTATTGTAGAAACTAAATATTCTGCAATTCATTTAACATTTTTGATAATCTTTCTTAGTTACTTTTAAAATTAAGTTATGCAAATGCCATGTAGCAAATATACAAAATCAATTCAGAAAACATTCATATCAGTGAATATCAGTAACAATGATGGCTGATATTTACTAAAATAGCAAATAATTGATACTGTAAAGTAGATGTCAAATTATTTCTCTCTCTAACATTTTCTTCAAAATATCAATTTTGTAGGAATTTTATTTTGTTAAGAAATTTTTCTTTAATTGACTTAAAGCAAAAATGCTTAAATCTTGTTACACTAACACTTGTTAAAATTGAACATTGTATGTTTATTTTAGTTTAAGTTACTGAAGTCAGTCAAAATCTGGACATGTCAATGACGAACAGAAGCAATTTAGTAATGAGGATGTCCCAGCATTGTGATAAATAACCTACTGTATAAACAGAATGTTGTAGTCTTTTTACATTAAAAAGAAGCTCTTTTGTTTATTTTATTTAAGGTTTCATCAGTTAAATGATATTCAAACAGAATGATTGATACACACTTCAAAAACATTCTAGAAACTTTTCTTTTGGAATGCAACTTTTTAAAAAAAACAGTAACTTTGATTCATTACATGAATGTTTTACATAATTTAAAACAAATATGCAGTAATTAAACTTTATTTTTGCTAAATATCAACTTGATATCTTCCAAGTTTAACAAAATTTAGTGTTAGAAAAATTATTCATGCCAAATGCGAGGCTTGTGCCATGTCAGTGGAAAAGTTTGGACCATCTGAAACTGGCATAATAGTCATGTTAATTGACATTAAGAATAAAGGAAAATTATATTTTGAGACACCATGAAGTGTTGACACTAGACACCAGACTTTTTCACATCCACTTTATTTTCTTATGTAAGAAATGTCTCAAAATATAATTTAAAGAAGGACACAGTTTCAATATAGAGAACATTTTTTATATCAACCAGCAAATGCTTAAACTACTGGAGTATATTGAATCTCATATTACTGCAATTATAACTCACATGATGTCAGATATATATTTTGAAATAATTAATGCTATTTTTCATTTAAATATTCTTGTAGAGATTCAACTTGAATATTTTTCCCAGTTTATTTTCACATATGCTTTGTAATTACAACTTAGCATAATTTATAAATATATGATCTCATAAACACATGCATCATGTTTTATATATGATAATAAATGGCTTCAAAATTAATTTAAAGAAATAATGAGTTTTTTAAATAATTATTATTTAAATGAATATTTTCCTTTGCATGAAATATTATAAGATCTTTCTGCAATTTCAGCCAATATCTTCCCTTTTACTGTTCTAAATACCATTTAAGCTTGTCTAACTTCTAGCAGAATATAGTTGAGATGGAGTGTATTGAACAGTAACATTTAGAAAAAACAAAATATTTAATAGTGCACATTTACCTGTCTATTGTCTTCATACACCATCATTCCGACATTAGGCTTTATTGTTGTAACTGAAACAAAAATTTCTACTTGAATAGTTTCATAAAATTGAAATATTAAAATTACAAAATATATAAATAATTAATTTCTTTTTATTGTATTGAAATTAAAGATGCAAAAGGCAATTTCTAAATCTAGTCTCAGTTCAACTTCTTGTATTTTCTATAAAAATATTAAGCTTATAGCACTTATTATATTATCTCATTTATTTACTAAATACTGTATTTATTCTAATAAACCATGCAGTCTACAACACTTTACACTTTGAAATTGTACTGTTTATTAGAGGGCACTTACTATCACAATGCAATCATTATTTTTATTTTTTGTGATTTTGGTTTGACTATTATTTAGTAACTTTTTCACTTTATTATTATATTAATGATAATGCAAAACTGAACACATTCACATGTTATTTAAACATAAGAGAAGAGTGATAACACTGAATAGAATTTACAATTTTTACAATAAGTCTTATCTTCCTCCAATAGATAGTGAACTTACTACTAGAAGGCACTGTCTATAACTTTTTTCATCCTGCAGATTTACTATTTATTACAATAAATACAGTTATGTTCCAATGGAGAAGTTTTCTTCAACTAAAGTTTCCATTCCCTCCTAAAAAATAAATTTCAGTTTTACCAGTAACGTTAAAGATTTTAAAATATTATTTATTGTCAACTTTACACGTTCTTTCTCTTGGTCAACACATTCAAATACATTCACTTGGAATCTGATGTGTGGATTAGAAAAATTTTATATATATAGTAATACAGTCATCCCAGCTTAATTCAAAATACTGAAGACCTTGAAAACAGAACTTCAAATTATCAAATTTCAAACTAAAAGAATAATTTCTTATTTAAAAACAAATACTTGTATGGATTTTTACACCATTTATACAAACTGTTTATATTATGTATGTATGTGCCAAAAATTTTGATAGTAAGCATTTTTAAATGTTTGATTTTTCAGTTCCTAATTGGACTAGAATCGATCTGTTTTTTATTTTTTATCACAAGCTTATCATAGTTTATGACTGTTATACTTTTAATAATTCTTCCAAGAATTCCAGGTAAAGTCCAATTTTAATGGGGATAAATTGCAAAATTAGCCAGATGATGCCATTTTACACACAGCTGTGCTTAGGCAGAAAACTTCAATACAGATTCAAACTTCAAAGAGAAATTCAATTCAATGCCTTTCCTACATAAAGTCTATGGAGAGTAATATGAGATAGGAGAGTTGAGATTCCTATACCTCAATTACAAACAATCTACTTCATAAATGGACATGAAAATTACACAGTTGACAGTAAACATCTAAACAAAGCAAGAGATATTAAAATTTTAAATCTAACATGTCCCACTTTAGCACACAGGAAAAATAAAAGGCTATTATAAGAGCTGCATGCGTTTATAAGTCATACGAATACAAAATCAAAATTGAGGTACAATCACTCAGCAGTATGTAAATAAAAAAAAACACAACACCTTAATTTGCTGAGAAAAATTTAATATAAAGCAAATGTTTTCAGTCAAATCTGTTGGCCATCATCATCCTATTTTGTTTATATTCGAATATTTTAGCCTGATGATCAGTGCCGGCCTGAGGCAAGTTTCAGGATGGAGCGAGATCCTATTACGGCACCCCCCATTGGTTGCCCCTAATTTATACCGTTTAATTTTCTTTACCACTGAGGCGCCCCTAGGACTTAATGCCTGGAGCGGCTGCTCCGTTCACCCTATGATAGGGCCTGCTCTGCTGATGATGGTCAACAGATTTGGCTGCTTTTTATTAAGTATTTTCTCAGCAAATTAAGGTGTTGTGTTTTTTTGATTTACAAAATCAAAACCGAAACTCTCATTTGCCAGGCTAAAGGGTATCTGTTAACAACCCTGCGGTTGTTAACAGATCTTCCTGAAACAAAAATGAACAGTCCTCACCTAGCCCTACCAGAAGATAAAAAGTGTTTTACAGTAATTTCATTACAGTATTTGCTGTGTAGCTTTCATATCAGAAGGACATAGCCACAGGACACGACATTCATGGAAGAAAGAAGGTTCAAATATGCCAGGAAGCTGATTAGGATGAAGCCATTTATGAATGGTTTTGTAATGAAATGGCAAGAAACACCACTTTCTGGAAGTATGTTCAAGGAATATGCTGACTGAAAAATTGAAGAAGTGGACGCAGACACGAAAGTTTCAAATGGATGGGTTTATCGTTTTCAAAAATGTCATAAAATTTTTGCATACATTTGCAAACGCATACGAAACATCATTTCTTTGTACAGTGGTGCCTCGTATAACATACGCCTCAAATTACAGACGCTGTGAACAACAGACTGGCTGCAAACAACGGACTTTCCGTTCAGCAGTTATGTGAGGCGAACAACGGACTTTCTGCAAACAAATGCAAATGATGTTCCCACACTTTTGCCGTTGCCAATGACAATCTGCTATTTTTATAATATATTAGTATTAGTAGAATATATTATTAGTATATCTGAAGTACAAAGCTCCCGTTGGGATTCGGCTTGCTCCCTTGTTTATTGCGTACATCACTTCAGTGCAGGGTATTTACATTTATTCAAGTGTTGTGAAAATCATGGCTTCTAAATAAACAGAAAGGTGATTTCAATTGGAACAAAGCAAGACATCATCAGAAGGAATGAAAATTGACAAAAACTTCCTTGTCAAATGGGGACAGGTTCAGGAGTTTACCAACACTCATTATCCAAACAGAGCTGAGGCCAACAGGATCAATGATCTCTTCAATGACACCCTTGCCCATCATTTCCGACAGGTGTTGAAGAAGAGAGAGAAACAGACCACCGTGAACATGTTTTTCAAGAAGCTAGCTGCCAAAAAACAAAGGATGGAACAAGAGGAGTTGACCCTGCAAGCCCTGGTAGACTCTCCTGAATCTGATTCCAATTAAAAAACAATAAAAAGAGACCCACTGCAATGTGTAAAAAGTCTGTATCTGTATGAAGAAAGTGTTCCTCCAAGTCCTCCTCACAACATCTGACTACCCGGCATAATTGGTGACTGCTCCATTTTCATTTTTTTATGGTACAGTACGGTTATTTTATGCTGGGAACAAATTATATGTTTTAACATGTATTTCTATGGGAAAATGCATTTCGTATAACAGACTTTTCACTTAACGGACGTGCACCTGGAACAGATTAAGCACATTATACAAGGCACCACTGTATTTCCTACTTGTAAGCATAGAGTAATTATTAGTAATAATAAGAAACTGATTTCATGTAAGATAAAATCAACTATTTTAGTAATGAAATTATTACAGTAACGCTAAAAGCAAATAAAATACTTACAGGGGTAATTTGCAATTTTCGGTGATGCTCTGGATAAAGCTTTTAATAGGGTAGACTTTCCAGCATTGGGAAATCTGAAAGAAACAACATTTGAAAAATAAATAATTTGTATTTGATTATTATTTATTTAAGATGGTTCTAAATTATCTAATAAATTATTAAAATTATAATTATTAATTTAGTTAAGACATGGTGCCTAATGTCTACCTCTAGTAGCAAATTACTTAGTATTAATTATTAAAATTAGCAAAGTTATAGCCTGATTATTTATGTGATCGTTTGGTGGTGTTGTTTCTATATACATATCAGGCTTCACAATGGGTGTTATAATTATTAATTTAGTTAAGACATGGTGCCTAATGTCTACCTCTAGTAGCAAATTACTTAGTATTAATTATTAAAATTAGCAGAGTTATAGACTGATTATTTAGGCAATTGTTTGGTGATGTTTCTATATACATATCAGGCTATGCAAACTTTTTATACTTTTAATCTAACTTCATCAATTAAACACATTTATATATTTTTAAAGTGAATATAACATATGCTCAATTATCTGCCAATCATAAGAACTACAATCAGTCAGTCAGTTAGTAGAAAACTATAGTTGACAAAACTCTCCAAATATTAAAAAAATATTTTGTAAACAAAAAGAATCTTTAAATCATGCAAAAGTATTTGATTAATTAATAAATTTAGAATAAAAAGATGAGCATAATTTATCAATTTTCAGTAGCTGACTTAAGTCTTCTTTGAATTTTAAATTAAGTATTATAAACAAAAAATGTGAATTTTGTTAGTATTCATATAATTATTTATGTAAAGCATGTAAATTTAAATATGAACTAAAACTTTAAGCTAAATAATAAATTGATATAAAATTTTAAAATAATTTTTATATCATCATTTATTGTTACAATATAAAAACTTGCATGAATTTAATACAATGATTTAAAGTAAAATAAGATTGTAAATATGTTGTAAAAACTATTGAATATTTTAAGTTTTAAAATAATTACAAATACATTTAAATTTTGAAAATAATAAAAAAACAAAAGCGAACCCGACAAATCCTACATCGGCGATAAGTTTCAGATCCAAAGTAACACAGACGGACTGTCCTTTTTGTCCAAAATACTGATTTTCTTTCGAACCTCCACAACCTCCCTTGGCTATCAGAAGAGTGTCGTCTGGATTATTCAGATCGCCTAAGGAATAAGGACTTGCTTTAATTTTAAAAAAATCTCTTACATTATCTTATTGAAAAATAATCACCAAAACTCCACATAATCAACTAACTAATAATGAATTGCTTTAATGGAATAATCGTTATATAAAAATATTTACAAGCACTTTCAGGCACACTCTCATATTCAGGTAATTTAGTTCAAAAGATATTTTTACAACTTAAATTAGTGGGGCTGTGAAGTCAGAGTCGGAAAAATGTGTCGATTCTGACTCCCGCATTTTAAATTTACTTCAGCTTTTTATTTAAATGAAAAAAAATTTATTATTTATTTATTCATTTAAAAATATTTTTTTTTTTATATTTTGTTATAATTCATTTATTTTAAATACAAAATGCATCAATTTAATTTATTAAATATGTAGTAATCTTTGTAGTATTTGTGTATAGTAGTTAAATTATTTTGGCCCAATTGAATTTAAATATTTTTGATTCATTCTTTTATTATCCCTGCTCTAAATAAATACTCTATTTTTTGAATGAGCCAGACTAATTGATCAGAGTACATATTTTTGTTTTCTGAGCAAGGGACTGAAGTAGCTAGATCGCACACTTTTTAGTTGGACTAACTCTTCTGGAAGGGTGAAATTGAAGTGCAAATGCTCTCAAATACACGTACATGTAAAATTTTATTCCCCTTTCTCCTCTTATTAAATATTCATTAAAAATTAATTTTTTTTATACAAATAAATATTAATGTGCATTAAATATTAAAAATGCTAACTATAAAAGTACAGTAGTACCTTAGGATACAAAATTAATCCGTTCCTAAACTGAGATCGTATCATGAAAATGTCTTAAGATGAATAATTTTTCTCCATATGATCACATGTAAAACCAAATAATCCGTTCCAACATGAAAAACACAAAAAAATGTAGTTTTATTTGCACTTTACCTTTAAGGATAGACGATGGTGGAGGTGTAAACTGGTGGCAGAGGAGAGGAAAAAGGGAAATGTTACTAAAAGTTAACTTATATAGCATAATGTAACAATAACTTAAAAAAAATTAGTGTTAAGTTATTTTTATCTTTTCTGTTTTATATACAGTATATTTTTTAATTTTTTATTCGCTGCTTATCTCCTTCACTTCCACCAGCACTTTCACTGGAGAGAGAGGTCACTTTGTAAAATATCTATCCAAAGAGGTTTGGCTTTGCCTACTTTTTAAAATGTTTCTAAAATGACTTAGTCAAATGTCATTAAACTGAACAGCAATACGGCCAGTAAAAACATTTTTGGGATGTTTCTTTTCAATAAAATCAGTTACTTTCTGATAATACCACAAGATTTCCTTTATCGAGCGAGATCCTTCCACGATGAAGCAAACATGCAGACTGAGACCGATGAATAGAAGGAACACGTGGTCACGGCGGTGGTGCTGTGAACTAATGTAATGTTTTATGGTGAGTTTTTGTTCGTACCGTGGAGCAAAAATATGTTCAAATTGCATGTGGTATCCTGAAAATGCTAAAAATTTTGTATGCTAGAGTGTTTGTATCCTGAGGTACTACTGTATTTGGGTAAATGCCCAGGGCTCCTTTCAGAGTTCAGAGTAGGGTACCTCCTTATGAGCATCTCTGCCTCCCATAAAATGATTTGGTATTTAATTTTGTTGAAGTTGGGAGTTGGAGTCAGCCTACTAAAATTATCAGGAGTCGGAGTCAAGTGTTTTTTTACTTACTCCCCATTGCTGGGCCACTCCCAGTCTGAGCACATGTTAATCTGACTTGTGAACATATTTGATACATATTTTATAAATGACAGAAAAAGGGCTACTATTAGTATACATGGAATATAAAAAATATTTGTGGCTTGCTTAAGATTGTAAGATTAATGGGCTAAGGTAATGCAACAAATACAAGATATGTCAAGAGGAAGTGTTTCCTGGAAAGACTTTCTATGCAAAAGTAGCTCCTTTATAGGCGTTACATATGTGGAAAAACTCAGAAAACTGGAGAACAGCCCATTAGTCAGATACAAATCTGCAACACTGGTTCAGTGAATAAAACCACTGAAACAGTGTTTAGTGGTTTTATCCATTTGGTCACTGGTGAGTGTGGTCTTCCTGCCTCTGATTTATACTCAATTTGGCTCACCAATCAACAAGTTTGAGCATGAGTGGTTTAAATAAAAACATTTAATGCTTCTGTATCTTTAATATATAACCAGGGCTGTGGAGTCACGTAAAAATCTACAGACTCCAACTCCGACTCTTCCTTACCATCCGACTCCAACTCGGAGCGGACTTGTTACCGAAAAAGACCCGGAAATTCTGATGTCTTCATTTGACCTCAGAATAAAATATTGAATAAATAGAGTTGTAATAAAGATAGAGTGTAGAAACTTTTTATTCCAAAGCTAAAAGACTTCTCTAAGTAATATATAAATATGTATTCGATAATTTTTACTTTTCCAGCTGTTATATACAACAGAGGAAAAGTGTAGCGCTCAGTCAAAAAATAATCCCTCCCAAATTTTTACATTTTTCGACTCAGGACACTTTGAAATTTCGAGATATGCAAAAGATTCAAGGTTTTTTTTCTATATGTGTGGATGTTAGACTGTGTGGGGGGGGGCATGATTTTGTTCACCCTGTTTGAAGCCTGATAATTTCTGTGGTCAGAGTGGTCAGAATTGAAGTCAGATGGTTTAACACAAGAGTAGGTTATTAAGCATCAAAGTGGTTGAACTAAATCATGTCCCCATATATATTCTAACATCTTAGGCGAGAACATCTGAACGGGTTTTACTGTACTATTATAAAATGGCAAAAAAGCTTACTTTGAGGGTAAAGATGAGTTTTATTTTATTTTTTTAAATTTTGAACACTAATAACGAGTAAAATATTCATTAAGAGATATGACACATGACCACTTTTATGTTTTCACCCTGTCGACCTTTAATTAAGAACCAAAATTTAATAGTATTAATGCCCCTTTATACGCAAGCCACAGAGCCACATTTCGTTTCTTAAACTTTACCCATTCTGAGATACTAAACAATATCTCAGAACAGAAAATAAATTAAACAAATTAGATGCCAACACACATGCACGCGCAAATTTTTCTCCTTTATTGACTTTTTTGAGGGGTTTGGGAGGTCTCCAAACACGTAGATTTGCAAAAAAAAACTTGGAGGGTCAAATTTGACACGATTCCAATACTTTTCCGTTTTATATACCTAACAAGTTGGTAAATAAAAAGGAGTTGGAGTCGGCGGATTTTTTGACGACTCCGACTCCACAGCCCTGTATATAACACTATAAATATATGTAAAAATTGAAAATGCATACAAATAAATATTTACCTTTAAAAAATTATTCCATGTCTACTTATTTTCATCAAATTTACTGGTAAAAAATATCAAATTACCAGTATATTTACTGAAATAACATCTCTTAATTAATTAATTAACTGATTACCAGTAATGCAATCCCTAGTTTCAAACTTCTATCATACATCCATACACTTCTTGCCATCTTGACATTCTGTTTTTCATCAAGATTTTCCAAAATTGCAATGAGGTGATACCTTTTGTTCTAATTTTACACCTCTCAAGCTATGGCTCTTCTTTTAGCAATGTCTCTTAAGTGTTATTAATTAATGAAGGATGGAAAATGGCGTACTGAACGTAGTGTAATGGTCAGCACACAACAATCAACTCTTAAATTTGAACTAAACTTAATCTCCAAAAGATAATCAGAAATTTGGATACAAAAGGCAATTTAGATAGTAACATAAGCATGGAATTCATTTCTCAGTCTTTCTCTGTTGATTCTAAATAGAAGAATTCATATGTAAAAGGTGAGAAAGCAGTAATCACTGAAAGAATGATCTAGATTCTGCAGCTACAAGACAATAAGGGATCTTGCGAGAAATAGGAGAGAATGGTGTATCTTTATATATTGGAGACATAATCTGTAAAATGACAGAAAAGACTGATGGAAGAAAAAACCAATTAACACAATCTTACCATATGCAAATGTTTTATTAGATAACAGCAACCATCAATTATAAGGATTATTATGTTTAATTGTTTATATTCAAAATAAAATGTTTTTGTTAACTCAAATGCTGCTTCATATGTGTAGTAGATTATTGGCAATTAACTCTATTAATCATGAATCAATTCTGCTGGTCAAATGCTGTACATTGGCAAGAGTGCCTCCTTAATATATTTTGTAAGTGTAGATGTATAGATTTATATTTTTGCTGCTGTGATAGATCTAGAGTTAGTTTGAAATGGCACCATGCAGTCTTTCCAATGGGATGGTGTGTGTAAGAAGGTCCTTGCTGCTTAATATTGCACATAAAAGAGATTCAAATGCTACATCTCATCAAATTCTCATCTTTTAGACATTTAATGGGTTCATTTATTTGAATTTTTAAGAAATAATTTATATATCCACTGATGTAAAACTTTTTTAATAAATATATAGGTTAAAGTTACTGATCTCTAAATTTCATAAGAATTTTTGTACACTAAAAATAATTACAATTACATAAGAAGAAAATTAAAAATTACTGATACAATAAAAATAAAAATAAATATATTAAGTTAGAATAAAAGGATATTTTAATCTAATTTTACTTAATGATTTTACCTAGCACTCTTTTTTTCTGATTAATAACAGTTATTCCCGTTGGAACGTCGATGATCAAATCTTCTCCTGGCCTTCCCAGAATTCTGTATTTTCTAAAAATTACAACAATAACCTTATATTTAATTTATATCTTCAGTCTGTTTAAAATTTAATAATTATTATTGATAAAAGTTTAGATCTCTGTCATTTCAATATTTGAAATTTATTTTTTTAAAGTTTTTTCACATAATAATAGATAGATAAAATATCCAACCAATCAACTTTTTCCATAAAATTGGTAATTGTAAATGAAATCTTCTCAACCAAACATTTTTAACTCTGTCACACAGCACAATGAGAACATTTTGTTATGATTAATGTTCATTTCGTTTGTTTGTAATAGTTCGTACGACAGTGTGAACCTTATACACTAAACTACGCTTCATTCGCACACAATCCATGACTCACTTTGATCTCGATTTACCTACAATCTGGATTGTGACTGTTGCCAGTCGAACGTCGTGCTATTCGCACAGGCAGTCTGCTTGAAAAGAACCCGACTATTACATGCAATGATAAAACTGACATAACTACGCGGTTAGTCACAAACATCAACAAACAAAATGGAAGTTTTCGTTAGAAATAAATACTTTTTCTTGCCATATATCTAATAACAGACAGATGTCATCATCTTTCCAGTTGTCTTTTTTATTTCTCTGTCAATAGCCCAACATGTGTTCTGCAGCCATCTTGTATTTTCTCGTGCATGTGGGATTGTAGTATCTTTCTTATGGCAGGATCTAGTTTCAAGAACTCTCGAGTCAATTGCGATTGAACTGTGTTTCAGTCAAGATTGAAATGGTCGAGAGAGATTGCACCATGGCATAGACGCCGACCTTGGTCACAACATAGATCGAAATGCTTGGTGCAAACCCCCGTTTTCACCGAGCATTAATTATAACGCCAGGGTATAAGCTTAAAAATGAATTTCTTAAACACTACTTATGAGAAATGCACAGCAGAATTCCTTAAATCTAAAAAAATTTAAAAGGTTTTGCTAAAGTTTCTATAAAAATAAGAGTAACAAAAATAAAATATCTTTTACAAGGAGGAAACTTGTGGACTTGTGTTAGTAGGAAGACTTATGTCTATTTAATACTAATAAACTGAACATGAACCTGAATCTTAATACTATTAACAGATAGACAGACAGTGTGAAAACTAACAAGCACAATGACAAACTAGATAAGATAAATGGACCAACAGAAGACAAATAAGCAAGACCCCAAATTCTCATTTTTTTTAATTTAATTTTAACAGACATCTTCAGGTATATATAACAAACAAATTACAAATTCAATTAACTTAATTTTAATTTGTTTGTAAAAACTTGTTTGATTTTAATTTATCTATTTTGTTCTACATTATATATACCTCAAGAGGTCTGTTATAAACAGATAAAAACATTACTAAAAATGTGTTAATTTGAGGTATGCTGCATACAAGGGGTGTTCAAAAAGTATCGGACCTTTGGTTGGCAAAAATACATTTATAGATTTTAAGGTACAAAACCCTAATTCCCTTCAAAGTAGTCTCCTTGGTAATGTATACACTTCTCCCAGCACTCCTGCCATTGCTGAAAACACTGCTGGAACGCATCTTTTGGAATGGTTATCAGCCGGTCCGTCGCATTTTGCATGATGTCTTCTGTTGACACAAATCGGGTTCCTTTTAGCAGCATTTTCAGCTTGGGAAATAGCCAAAAGTCACACAGAGCCATGTTGGGAGAGTATGGAGCATGATGAACCACAGGAATTTTGTGTTTGGTGATGAAAGTCTGAATCAGATGTGCAGAATGGGCAGGTGCGTTATCATGATGGAGCTGCTAAGTTTTGGTTGACCACAGATCAGGTCATTTGCGTCGCACAGCATCACAAAGACGACGAAGGACCTCTTGGTAGTACTCCTTTGTGATGGTTTGGCCTTGCGGTGCGTACTCACAATACACCACCCCACAGGAGTAAAAAAAACTGTCAACATGACCTTGACATTTCTGCGGACCTGCCGTGCTTTTTTGGCCTCAAGGATTGTCCCCAAAAGCCTGCTGAATCTTGTGAATGGTTTCCACTTGGGTATTGCCAAGCTTTTAACAAAATTTGATGAAATATCACTGTTCATGTTGTTCAGTCATTTTCCAACTTAATGGAATCCGACGAGCGCTCACTACATGTCCTCACTGATAGGCCAACTGCCAGCGACTGACGCTTCTTGCAGGCAGGAAAAAATTCCAGACTGTGCATGACTGTCCCCTCCACAACTCCACCAAAAGAGACCTCCCGTGCATCATTGGTTTACGCGGGAAAAATAAAGGTTCGATACTTTTTGAACACCCCTCGTATATTTTTCTTTCCAGAAAAAGATTGAGTTGATTCCAATCCCTTTTACTTTTATCATGATGATAATCCTGCACTTTTAACAAAACATAAAGACAGTAAGTGATCTCTTTGAATAAGTCACTTCTTCACTTCAATTCAAACAAAGAACCCTAGATATTAATCTAGGAGGTTCTTTGCTTGTTAGGTTTACCAATTTCAGATTATAAATTATTTTCAGACTGTTAAGGCATAGATGTTCCTCCATAATTAAATCAAAATTATAAATGAAAAATATGTCCTGCAATATATTGATATTTTGATAAATTTTTCTTAACTTGACAATAGTATATGCACAAAATGAGAGAGCTAATCTTCAAGATGGTAATGTGAGTTTAAAACGTGTATAAAAAAAATTTATTATTTTTTATTAATCCATTCCAAAATGATTAAAAATGAACCTATTACTTGGCTGAGCCTTATTCTGTACAAGTACAATAAAGTTATGTAGATCAAATCATTTAAAATATCAAAAAAAATCTATACATTATGGAGAAAATAAAAATACACACACATAATGAATTCAAATGCATACGTACTTACTATGTTCACCTGATCCACCAACAAATCTTTTATTTGGTTGCTTTTGAGTAACGTCCCTTAACGTCAGCTCACTTGTTGCTTTCACATACACATCGCCACCCTTCCCTCCAATTCCACCATATTTTGGCAGTCCATTTCCTCCACTTCCTCCTCTGGCATAAATGTATATACTATCTAGAAAGTTCCTATGCCTTTTCTGAAAAGTAATTTAATTCAGTCAATAAAATTTTTAAACAGTAAATAAAATTTATCAACATGCAATCTACTGTATTTACTCGCATATAAGACAAGTTTTTATTCATTTTTCACTGCTTCAGAAACCTAGGTCGTCCTATATGCACGAATGAAGGAGTCTTTGCATTTTTGCAATAATTTCTGTTAACCATGTATACTTCATGCTGTCATTATAGGACTACAGTCTATTTATAGTAAGTTGGCACCTACTGTAAACAAATTAAGACACACACCCCTTTGTTTATTGGTTTAATCCTACATCCATCAATTAAAAACCATGTTGCATGTCATTCGTTCGCAGAAAATATTTACTCATTATTTATAAAAACATTAATGAAATAAAAAATACACTACAATTTTATTATTATTATTGATATAAAGGGTGAGTCATAAGTTTCACGCTTTTGTAATAGCAACACTAATCGGTCAGTTATGACTCAATGTTTCTGTATCATAATCTGAATAAACAAAAGTATGTATTTTTGTGAAATGTATTAAATATTTTCTTTATTTATAAATGTTAGTGTAATTTTGGCCTGTACCTTTAATATTGGACTCCCCCACAGACATTATGTTTTGATCTCGGTTATCCCACAGAGTTATTTTGCAAAGCAATCATTTGACTTGAAAATGGATGAAAAATTTGTTATTGAAGTACTTTTGTGATGGTTTTCAAATAATCTTAATGCTACAGTCACAGCAAAGGAAATTTGTAAAGTGGAAAGTTCAAGTGTTATCTCTTAAAGAATTGCACAATACTGATATAAACATTTCAAAGCTGGAATGCTAAACCATGAAGATTATTCTTGGCCTGGAAGACCTATAACAGTGGATTCTAAAGCTTTAAAATTAACTGCTGTTTCAAATCCAAGCACTCAAAGACTATCTAACAAACTGAGATGATCACAATCTAGTGTTGTTCATCATTTTCATAAGCTTATAAAAGTTAACAGAAACTGTTGTGTTATACAGGTAACCCCCGTATAACACGGCACTTCTATAGCACGGATTCGCTCTAACACGGTTCGAGAATTGGTACCATCCCCCGTATAACACGGTACTTTTATAGCACGGATTCACTCTGACACGGTTCGAGAATTGGGTAAAACCCTCGTACAACAGGAAATGTAATAAATTTTTACATACTTAAGTAATAATAGTTCACGAAAATTATTATTTTCGTGAACTATTAGTACTTAAGTATGTAAATTTTCTCTTCTCGCCTTCTGTCGATACACGTGGTCCTTCTCGAAACTTGTTTCAATGTTGCCAGATCGCGACGCTTCTGCTTCTGATGTTGCCGAATGTTTTTCCCTTATTCCATACTTGCTTTATTCTTCATAAGTGCTTAGCACCATATAAGGAAATTTATAAAGACCTTTTAACTAGAAGCAAGCAATCTAAAATTACATACATTTTGCAAAAGGTAAAGCATGGATCTGAAGATAATGCAGAAAAATGCTCAGAGGATAAGGATAACTTGCCAAAAAGAAAACGCTCTCGGTTAATTAATAGTGTTTTTAGTGATGACGAAGAAAACATTGTTTAATTTATATTAATATGTATCACTTAAAAAAATTTTAATGAAGATATTTATCTTAATTATGAAAATATACTAGTATGTTTTTTAATTTTTGGAACCTAACCCTCCTTTTCGTATTAGTTCTTTGTTTCGTATAACACGGATTCGCATAACACGGCAATTTTTTGGAACATAACTACCGTGTTATACGGGGGTTACTTGTACCTTGTAATTTGACTCCTACACAAGCTCAGCACTATGTTGAAATATGTTGTCAATTGCTAATAAAGCCTAATAATAGCATTTCATCAAAGGGACTGTCACAGGGATGTAAAGTGGATATATTTTTGTAATCTAGTCAAGCAAAATCAATGGTTAGATCTTGCACATTTACCAGAACCAGTTGCAAAAAAAGATATGCTTCAAACACAAAGAATGACTTTGTATATGATGGAATTTCAAGGGTCCACTTCACTCAGAGTTAGTTCCTGATGGTTGTAGCATTAACACAGAACTTCGTTGTGCCCAACTGGATCAAATGTATGCAGCTTTAATCAATAGAAAACAGATATTTCTTTAACAAGATAATGCTTCTCCACATGTTACACATTCAACAAAAGCAAAACTTCAGGAACTAAACAAATGGAATCAATGCCACATCCAACATTAAGCCTGGACTTAGCACCTTCAGACTACTACCTTTTTCAGTCCACGGTGCACTTTATGCATGGAAAACAATCTGAAAATCTTATGGACATTGAAAATGGAATCAGGGAGTTTTTTGCCTCAAAATCCAAGAATGGTCAACTGCAGAATTAAAAAATTGGCATCAAAATGAATTACTCTTCGAGATTTCAAAATGGGTAAACAATATTAAACACAATGGTCTTCACTGATCTTGAGATTTTGAAGAATAATCCTTTACTGTTATCTTTTATGTACATTTCTTTATACCTTATAAAAACCACAAGGATTTGACTCGCTTTCTATTTATACAGTTGAACTTCACTACAACAATATTTTGGGAATCAGGAAAATATTGTTATACTGGGATTATCATTGTAGTGAGGTCTTAAAATTTAAGAACTGAGATCATTAAGAATGTGAAATTTAGATTAAGTAAAAGAAACAGTACACCTTGTAACTCCAGTAGTATATTTAATAAATCATAATGTTTTTGATTTAGGACCATAGACCTTCCTCAGTGAAGTACATATTTAAAATAAAATGAACATAGACATATCAAATTCAATGAACATAATTTAAAATTAAAAAGTGTTCTTTTGTTAGAACACTTTTTAATTTTAAATTATGTTCATTGAATTTGATATGTCTATGTTCATTTTAGAACACACTCACAGAAAAAAATTAATAATTAATAATTAAAAATAATACAAATAAAAAGAAAGATTAATACAGTCGACCCCCCTATAACATGGTAGATATGTTATGGTTTTTATGAATCCATTTTCTACGAGTCCAGCCAATCACAGCCCGACACGTATGCAGTTTACGCACTACAACTGTTTGAAAGGTTTCTTCCATAAAATTAATCGATTCTAGACTAATTCGACTCAACATTTCCAAAATACGTATAATTTTTTGGGAATAATCCATATAAACTATACTATAAACAAAAAATTGTAGGATTACTTACCGAGCGTGCACCATTCGACTATGCCATTGCTTAAGTTTGTTTTCGTCGTGGAGCTTGTCATCGAATGGTGCTCGCGTGCTTCCCGATAAATTATTTTTTTGCAAAAGATTTGCTGAACTTTGGAGACATCATTAATATAAATATAATTTTTATGGACATTAAATAATAAATGGGTTTTAGTAGGTCTGCTGCTCGTTTAAACTCAACGGTTTGTACGATATCCGCTATTGGTCTAGATTCGATCAATCCTGTCGCAACACGAGTAGGCAATGACATTTTACCAAATTATACGAGTTTTTTTTAGCATGTTTGTACGAATACTGTCGCAATTTTTTCGCCGTGATATAAGAATCCGAACTATAGGAACTCGTGTTATAGGGGGGTCAACTGTATAAACAAAAATAATTATTAGAGGACTAAGTCCAGGTTATATTTCGCACAAGGATTTCCATGCCAGAGGCACGATTACTAGAATATAAGGTTAAAGAATGCCCATAAGAAGTGCATCAAAAAAGCATCTAGAGACAAACTTTGCTACCAGGGCAGCACTGCCAGAAATTCAGGCCACATTAGTTACAGCTATAGTAGGTTTGTTAATATAGAAATTGTTTGGTTTTGATGTAATAATGCCTTCTAAGCAGTGGGTTCCGAGGTGTAAACGTGGCTATGCCTCTTATAAAAAAAAACGTGCTATGTTTTCATTTCTGAGAGATCCGGAAAAACAAAATGTATGGAAAAGGAATATACTAAGAGACTTCAAAATCACCAAGAACTTCTTCATTTGTATTCAATTGCAGATGTGAATGATGCTATTGGGACCATAACAGAGCTGTAGAGAATATCTATAAGAGTAAAAAAAGCCAAAGGAACCATACCTGTAAATGTGACCTTTTGCAACCTTTAGCCCTCCCAAATCAGTCAAACGCAATTGTGTCATGCCGCGCACTCTACTAAGATTATCGCATTTATTCCACGACTATGCCGGCTTTGAGTAGCCTATTTGACTGTTCATGGAGTACTTGATGTTATATAGTTTTAGGGGATGTGGGTGCTTGCTTCCACCTGGGTGCTGAGGTGCGAACACTAGCAAGCACCAGAGCACATGACTACATGCTCCGCATCGGTCAAGGCGAGAGATCACATGCCTTAACCAATGTGAAGCATAGAGAATAGGCATTAGTACTGGTTCAAGGCAAAAACTATTTCTGGTCAGTAAAAGTTAATGCATTTATTCTTTGTTATTGGCACTGATTGCAGTAGCTAAAATATAACATGCTTGCAAGCGTGACCTCTGCAAGCAAGATGGAAACTGGAACTGCCACCATTGAGTTCCACATTTGGAGACAAATATCTTGAAAACAATTGGATGTTGGATTTTTCTTCATTCTTTACCAATAAATATCATTAGAATGTCTGATAACTTTGCTGTACTGTCAGTTAAACATGTAATAGACTTAGCAGAACAAGCAGAGTGACTCCGTATAACACTTGGAAGTAGGCTTTAGGCTGATTTTGAAGAGCAAAAGATCACATTTAGAAGTATGATTCCTTTGACTTTTTTGTTCCTATGGGTATGCTCTACAGCTGTTAAGATCCCAACAGCATCATTCACATCTGCTAACTTTGTTTCCGAGTTGTATTTTGATAGTCATTGCATTATAAGGATATATGATGTAATTATTAAGGAGTAAAACATACGAAGAAATGTTTTTTAACCAACACTAAGACAAGAGGTAATTCCTATTATTTTTCCCAGGAGCAGAAGGACTAAGAGAGAAAACTG